GTTGTGGGGAGGGGAGTTCTTAAGGAGATGCTGTGGTGGAGGGAGGCGAGGAGGTGAGGAACTTTGCACCGGGATGTTCAATCTATTATCTACGTGTGTTGTTGTTGAGGCAGGTATACAGAGTGTCGAGATTGATGAGTGAGTTTGGCTTGCTTGGGAGGCAATGGAAGGGACTGGAAAGGAACGTCATCCCCGTTGCCTCCTGGAGGGCATTCTGGGGCATGTAGGTCATGGCCTGGTTTGTGGTGGTGAGGGTTCAGTGACGTGGAATGAGGTTCTGGAAGAGTGGAAGTGATGTTGAAAGGGGGAGGCACGGTTATGGCACAGCTGAGGGGGAGCTGAAGGAGCTGACAGCTGACAGCCTCGCCGGCAGAGAAGTGAGCTGAACCAGAGTCTTCTGGAACAATGGAACGAACCTACCGATCTACCTGGGTGGGATTTGTTTCAACGATATCGAGAGAGGCACATAATACGTGCAAGCGGGCTGTTGGTGTTGGTGATGACATCTACCAAGGTTGGCAGCATTGACGGGAGCAGAGAAGGTACATTTCCATCATAGGTAGATGGCAACTCGTCTTGTCACGACATGGTCTTTTTAGAGGCACGGAAGATCTACGGCACCCTCCTCCCGTCTTGTCGTCCAGAGAGAAACATGGCGGACAGAATGGAAGATGTCATCCCGTATCCCCTACACGGGATGGTTTGCCCAGGAACAAACGCCAGCTCAAAAAGCCCGTGTGTCCCGTCCCCTTTTTGTAGTGTCTGATTCCCCCTCACCGGTGCAGCACGGCGGGCGCGGCGTGTGCTCTGCATCATGTTGGTCGGGTCACGGTCACGGCCACACGACCACACGGCCGGCCGGCGGTTGCAGTCAATGGTTGAGCACATACCGGGTCGGCGTGGGCTGCGATGTGACTCTGGTGCGGGGGAGGGGGTTGGGTGTCTTGGGCGATCGATGGTGATGAGCTGGAACTGAAGATTCGGTCGTCGGGCTCACTGCATATGTATTCAAGGACGTGTCCATCTCGGCCTGGAGGTGATGACTTGGCCCGGCTGCACCAATCCAGGCGGCCTCTGCTCTTCGACTGGTGGTGATGAATGTTTCAAGAAACAAGACAGCTGCGCCGGTGCCAGCGGCATGGCTCCGGGGAGAGCGACGGCGGCCAGTCGTCGCGGCCGGGCTGGGCCACTGTGGCACAGGCGAGACGGCCCAAAGGGGAAAGGTGGTAGAAGGGCAAAAAAAAAGGAGAGACGAGGGGTTTTTCGCTGGCGTGTCCATTGGATGTTTCAGATGTCTGGGGCGCTGGGGTTCGGGGCTTGCTGTCACCCACTCGCGCGGCTCCGCCCAGGGTTGGATCGCCTCTTTAGTGGTGGGGAGGGACAGGCGGGCCCAATCGAACGGCTGTCAGGAGCTGTGGCGGGTGCCAGGGACCGAGGGGCTGCGATTGGGTTTTTTTCCCTGGCTCGCCTGGCTGTGGATTCCAGGTTTGCAATGCAGGTCGACCGCTGGGCTTCGGCACTGTCATTCGTTGTGCAGGCTGCCTCTTTGCCCTTGGCAGGGGTCAAGAAAGAGACGACGTCGAGTTGGACGACAGACGACAAGCAGCAGCCGACTGCCGGATTTTCTTTGGGACCAGACCAGGGGCCGAGGTGACAGCCCCCTCATCCGCACAGCACCGCACCGCACCACGGCATCGTACATGTGCGCTTGTGCGTTTGTCGACATGGACGTCGACGGGCATCCACGAGCGCGCCTCGCTTGCTGCACCACTGGTACAGATCACAGGCCACCGGCCACAGACCTCCTTGTTCATGGATGAGGCCTCTGCCGCCGTCCTTGGAGGTGGACCTGGCCGGGCCATGCGGGCAGCGCAGCGGCGGAGACGGGGCGACTCGGTCACCCCCCCCTCCACCCCCCATGGACACCTCGACATCCATGATCCCATGGACCCGGCATGGGTCCCGGCCGCGGCAGTCAAACCCTTGGTCCAACGATCTCGTTCGCCCGGTGGCGTTCGAAACAGGCACTCCCCCCGCCGCCAATCATGGCGCCGTGACGAGGGATGAACTGGTCGACAGGAAACATAAAAGCTCCCTCCCTCTGTACACCCTCGCCCTCTCTGGTCCCTTCTCTCCCTCACGTCACGGCCTGTTGACCCTCTCTCATTCATTCCTTGATTCACTGCCTGGACGCATTCATTGTCCGCCCCACTCTCTTCCATTGTTCTTTTTCCCCCTACCTTCTTTATCTTTATCAGAGACTCCCCGGAAGCCTCTTTTCATCCCGCCCCCTTCTATCCTCCAGACTCCGGCAGCCATTCTCTCCATTGTCTTGTCACAGGTCGACAAGCCATTGTTCTCCCTGAATAAACAATAGTCTTGTTCAGAAGCAGACCACTCATTCCTTCATCAGGCCCAAGCTGTGCTTTGGTTTAAAAACACCACCACGACCAACCCAAGGCATCTCTCCTCGCACCTCACCGCGAAACTACCACGATCCGCTCTTCTTGACGAACACCGGATCCATACCATTTACCACACTCCCTCGCATCTCAGCAACCAACTCGCTCAAGATGCCTTCCTTCACCGCAACGGTTCTGGCAACCCTGCTCGCGGCCGGCAACCTCGCCGCCGCCCACATGGAGATGTCGTACCCTCCCCCCTTCCGGTCCAAGTTCAACCCCAACGCCGGTAGCAACATCGACTACTCGATGACGGCGCCCCTCAGCGGCGACGGATCCAACTACCCGTGCAAGGGCTACCACAAGGACCTCGGCACCGCCGCAGGTGCTCCGACCGCCTCATTCGCCCCCGGCAGCACCTACAACATGACCATCGTCGGCGGCGCCGCCCACGGCGGTGGCTCGTGTCAAGCTTCGCTGAGCTACGACGGCGGTGCCACGTTCACCGTCATCGAGTCCATCATTGGAGGCTGCCCGCTCAACTCCAACTACGACTTCACCGTCCCCGCCGACGCGCCCACCGGCCAGGCCATCTTCGCGTGGACCTGGCAGAACACGATCGGGAACCGCGAATTCTACATGAACTGCGCCGCAGTGACAGTCGGTGGCGGTTCGGCCAAGCGCGACGCCATCGTCAAGCCCCGCGCCTCGTTCTCGTCCCGCCCCGGTATCTTCCTCGCCAACCTCGGAAACGGTTGCACAACCGTCGAGATGTCGTCCGTCAAGTACCCCGACCCCGGCCCGGACGTCAAGGACAACGGCGGTGCCCAGGCTCCCCCCTCGGGTAGCTGCGGCGCCTCGGCTCCTGCCGCTCCCCCTGCCGCGCCCCCTGCCGGCCCCCCTGCCGCTCCCGGCGGCGGCTCCGGTGGTGCTCCCGGCGGCGGCTCGCCCGCGCCCGCACCCACCACCCCTCCCGCCGTCTCCAAGCCCCCCACCGCCCCCTCCAAGCCCACCGTCATCCCCGCCCCCGGCGGCGGTGCCAAGCCCTCCGGGCCCCCAGGGTATGATCTCCCCCCTTGCGATGATGACGACGATGACACAAGCTCACACTCTTCCTCCAGCGGCGTCTTCATCACCGTGCCCGACGCTCAGCCCGCGGCGCCCACCGGGACCGCCCCGACGACCATGGTAACGGCCACTCGCCCTGCCGCCGCCCCCGCTGGCCCCACCGCCCCCGCTGCCGCCCCCGCCCCCGTCGCTCCCGTCACGGGAGGCCAGACCGGCGCCTGCACCAACGAGGGCGCGTGGAACTGCGTCGACGGCAAGAGCTTCCAGCGCTGCGCCTCGGGCCGGTGGTCGGCGGTCATCCAGATGGCTGCCGGCACCTCGTGCACGCCTGGCGTCAGCGAGGTGCTGGGGATGGCGGGTCGTCGGAGGCGGAGCGTGAGGAGGTCGTAAGGCCTCTTCTCTCTCTCTTCCTCGTTGGGTGGTCATGACACGTGGTGGTTCGTGACAAGAAAAATATACATGGGCTGGCTGGCTGTGCCAGATTGGTAACTTCATCATAGCTTTTTTCACTCCTTTCACTCTCTTTCTCTTCCCGCATTAGACTTTTCGGTGGTTTGGCATGGCACGGCGCGGCATGGCATGGTGTGATGATACCCGTTCTGGACGGTCAAGGGACTGGTGGATGGTGACGCATGTGTAACGAGTAAACGGCATGGGACACGGGAGGCCACAGGATGTGGACGGAAACGGAAACGGAAACTTTAGGCTGTACATATGTATACCAACAACACATCAAGCAACAAGCAAGCAATACAAATTGCGAATTATATCAACATGACGGATGACTTGAACGTGACAACCTTTGAACATGACGGATGACTTGAACGTGACAACCTTTGAACATGACAACGATGCACAGGAACGAGGTAGGTGGAACGGACAGATGACCATGGGTGTTTAGCCACCCTCGCAGTTACCCAGTCGTGATTATGACACTTGGTATTGACCTTGGCATGGAATCGACAACTTGCACTCTGCTCTTGCTTTTCCCGTGACACCGCCCCAGCTAGGTCCTTCCACAATATCCCCCCCTCGACCCCCCCCCCCCCGTGACATCAACACCCCTGGCTTCGAAGCTCCAATGTAAAGGATGGGAAGCCTGCAATCCCCTGCCGCTGTCAAACTTCTTACAGCATAAGAAATAGTGGCGAGAAGGCGCAATGTCGCTCGTCCCTCGTCGCACGATCTGGGGCTAGCTGGCACGTGTCAATATGCTGAAGCGGGTGCAGGGTCTTCCCTGGTTGCCGCGATGTTTGCTTTTTGGGAAATTGAAAAGACGAGGTCAGTGATCAGGGTGATGTGCATGCTGTCATCGTCTTCTGCCCATCCCCCGCGCCATTGACAATCACCTCCATCAATGGGAAGGGGAAAAATCCAGCTCGGACAGGACACCCCACGCATCTCACCTCAACCCCCATTGCAGACCGACGACATCTATGATCTCTCCTGCCATGTCTCCCCACCCCACTGTCCCAATGACCCGGCAGCAAAAAAAGAACCAGACATCTTCCCCCATCCCACCGGACATTTCTCTCCCGCCGGGAATTGAACCCGGGTCTCGAGCGAATAACCCCCAAAGGGATGACAAGCTCACATACTGACCACTATACTACGGAAGATGTGTGAATGTGAGGCATTCACCGTAGTGCGCTGGGGCCGGCAGGACAGGAGGCAAAGATGCCTGGCAAACTCGGATACGGGGAGTCGAACCCCGGGCTGGTGAGTGAGAGTCACCGATGTTACCGCTACACCATACCCGATTGTTTTTGGATGCATGGGAAGTGGGGTAGGGGTGCATATGACGAGGTGGGTGGGTGCTGGGTGGGGGTGTGGGGTCCTATGTCTTGGTGGGAGGGTTTTACTTATCGCTGGCGGTTGATGCTTCTAGTTTGTTTTCTTGCTGGAGTCTTGTCCCATTGCCCCCAGAAATAGGCGGCGGCATGTCGACAAAATGCTATCATTTGTGCCTGGCGTGGTTCTGAAAAGGGCAAGAAACACATCAGACATGGACCACATAAGGCGAGCAAACCTTCATCACTCCTTTCACATTGACTTTTCTCCGGACGGAAAACGGGGGATATCCCTGCGACACCTGTTGCTGACAGTACTCTATGTACCTACCTGATGTTGGGATTAACAACTCAAAGGTTTAAATAGAGTAGCGTAGCACGTCGCACCTAGCTGTATGTTAAGTCTGATATCCCTTTCCTTCCGGCAGCTTTGTCATATAAGTCGAGAAATTAACAACCTTCTACGTTAGTCCTCTGTATTAAATATGTATGTTTGACTTGGTATCATCTGACACCCACCATCAGAACTCCCGACGGGACGGCCACAAGGAGTGCGTAGGTGAGTACCAGACATCTTGCAGAGACAGGCCATATGCAACTTGCATCTCTCTTCTTATAAGACAGCTACAGAACCGCAGAAGCCAAGCCAGCAACAACACATCCCAAACTCGATCCTCCAACCCCTTCTCTCCCACCTCCTTCGGACACCAATTTGACTATCCCCGGCCAGCTAAACAATCCATCGAACTAACCGCAAACTGCCACCATGAGCTCAGCCGATCAGCCCCAGGCCTCCCCAGCTCCATCTTCCCCAGGCCCATCCTCCCCAGTCTCCCCAGCCATCGATGCTCTAAAACACTTGCAACTCCATGGCAAAAGGCCCAACCCGGCCCCACCACCGCCAGCTCGGAGCCCCCGGGCACCCGGGTCCCCCACGTCGTCCTTTTCAGAGGTAAACCGTGTTCGCGGGCATCCGAAGACAGAGTACATGGACATTCCGATAAGGAGGGTGGATAGCCAGGAAATGGAGAGCGTGGTGGGTGAGAAGGGCGGCGGTTGCCCTTGTACGTTCAGTGGCAACCATACCTTCAGGGATCGCAAGGAGTGCGGCGACAACATAGTGAACAAGCATGGTTGTTATTTCTGTAATGCCTACTGCTTAAAGCGCATTATCCGCAAGGATGGATCGAAGGATGACAGCAGTGCCGCTGGACCATCACAGCCTGCGATGTCTTAGTTGATTGGGGATGCTTACCTCGAGATGGCTGGTGGAAACGGATCCCAAAGGTTGAGCATTGGGGTTTCCGAGGTATCTGTGGTTTGAGACTGGGAATCATCGAGTCTTTGCTAGTACCTATTCAAGCAATTAGTGCCAATAAAACAGTCATTTACCTTTGTGTTCAGAAGTGGAACCCGGACGCGATGAAGAAGATGGGAGCCGGGGAGTCGAGGAGACATGGGCTGATATTCCCAGCTATCCAACAAACAAGACTTGATCGGAACCCTCCAAACAGTCGCTAACAATTCCCTATCAGAGCATTCAGTTTCGCAACCACCTCCTCAATATTCTCATCACTCGATCGTTCCACCACGACCACATCCCGGACGTGAGACGGGGCCAAGAGACCAGCTGCGTTTGTGGCTCGAGCATGGTACGTTGCCGTCCTCAACAAGTTTTTGATCACCCTCCCCTGTTTCTGTTTTTAGCGAACGCCATGCAGAAGCATATCTCAAACTTACATTCACATCGAGACCGCTGAGGGCTTCAAAGATGGCCGGTGTCCATAGCTCAGCATCAATCACTTTCCTGTTGAACTTGACCAGCCCTTCCCAGATGGCTGCGCGCTGCGTGGGTCCCAGGTCCGGCAACTCAACTGACAAGTGTATCCGGCTCTGAAACGCCTCGTCGAGGTCGTTACGACGGTTCGTGGTGAGAAAGATGATGCCCTCAAAGTACTCGAGCATTCTCAACCACACTGTGAATGTTGGTCAGCTTCTTTTCCTACCTGCCAATTCCGATCTGACGCGAGGGACGACTGACCTGCGACAATGGCGTTCCGTTCAAGCTCATTGTTGCTTCTCTTGGTCATGACCACATCTGCCTCGTCGAGCAAAATGACGGCTTTCCAGCGTCTTCCAAGCGCGAATAGCATGCCGAGCCTCTGCTCGACCTCTTTGACATCCACCCCTAGCTCACCCCCCGAGAGGCTGTAAAGGGGCACACCGCGGAGCTCAGCGATGCTCTCTAAAAAGAAAGGTAAATCGCATCAGCATCCCTGTTGGCCGTGGGCAACTTGAACCAGAAAGACGCGGTTGACTAACCTGCCGTGAGAGTCTTGCCAATGCCGGGTTTTCTGCTCGCAGAGGCTTAGCAAGGGCTACAATCTAAGGGAGGCCCTGGGAGGGGCAATGTCTCCAACTTGAAGAGTCTGAACCACCTACCCGTAAAGCATGATGGCCAGGCCCCTGCCTTTTGTGATAATAACATCGTCGAAGTCGTCTTTCGTGACGCCGTTTTGGTGTCCTGTGACAAGGGACCTAACCAGAGACTTGACTTCTGGTTTGACTTGCAAGGAATTGAAGGCGGCGTCACATGGTGTAAGGGGCGTGAGGTTGTCAATCAGGACCCAAGACCATTGCTTGGACTTGAGGCCATAGGCAGGCACACGGGGCGGACTAATGAGAAGCAGATCGTCCATCGTCCTGATGCCGCGATGCTGTGGAATCTTGGTTAGGAGGGCGGAGAAGCCATCAGCTTGCGAGGAGTCCGGTCCAAGATCCTCCATTTTCTGCACCCCATCTGAGTTGGTCTCCCGGTATGATTTGTAGTCCACGACAACACGCTCGCGCATCTAGCACAGAAGGTAAGCAGTGGCGCATGGTGAAGAGAAAGACTATCAACTCACCATGCCATCTACTAGACGGCCCGCTATGTCCTCCACCCACTTCGGCCCGTCGTAGTGACGGTACACATGACCATCGAGATCAACGCCCATGATGTCCTTGAAAGCATAGCCTCGCCTGATGATGTCGGTGGAGACAGCTTTGCTGCGATTGAAGTACTTCTTTGGAATGATGGGGAGGTCTGAAATTGACATCTTCCCATCCACCTTTTCTCCAAATGAAATTGAGAGGAGATTTTGCGTCAAGCCGAGTTTGGATCCATTGAAGCTAACCCGCGAACCCGTGACTTGCCATTTCGATTGCTCTAGTGGCTTTACATCGCGGCAGATCCAGCACTCAGGGGCACTGCCAAGGTTGAGGAAAAGCAACTCGTTCGGAGGGAAGATGGTCCAAAGCGTCTGGTGGTCAATCTCCCCTTGTGAGACCATGGCTTCGTATCTCTTCATGTTCTCGATGGTCAATCCGTCGTCGCGGAAGAAGTCGTGAAGCAGCTTGACCTCGGCACGGTCAGCTGCGGTATGCTGCTTGTCAGAGACGTATTCCTCAATCTCTTTTCGCTTGAAGAAGAGCTCGTAAAAGGGCGCCGGCAAGACAATCGGGGTTGAGCTGATGTCGATGCTCGTGTATGTGTCGACGACGATGTGTCGGAAGATGCTGCACAGGGCTGGCGACTGGATGCAAAGCTCGGTGCTCGTCAGAACATCGCTCCTGGCTCTCCTTGAAAAGATTCTGCGAACGAGGACAGAATACTGGTCGAACTTGCGAAGTGCCTTTCTGTCCTTGTCCATTTTGGCAGCCGGGGGGAGGTACTCTGAGGTAGGTACGATCTCTTCCTGAAGGCCGGCGATGTTTCTTGACCTGATGACGGTGACGTCCATGAACCCCTTGTGCTTGTATTGTACTGTTTCATCACCACAGTTGTCTGAATGGGGTAAACAGAGGCCTTGGGCCTGGTATGCGGCGAGAGTCGAGCTCATTGTCTGTTGCGTGCGCCATTAGACTTCTGAGTAGGGTGAGCAGGCGCTGGAACAATCAGGGGAATTACCAAGATAAATGGAATGGCCCTTCTTTACAACTCGAGAGGCTTTGCGGGAAGTTTGAGAAGACGGGCGAGGTGGTAGCCGGGTGGAAGGCGATCCAACGGCGTTTGGGCAGGTTGGCAGGGAAGACGAACAAACTTGAAGTTGTTGTAATACCTTGAACTGACGGACGAAACACCCCGAGGGAGGCCCGAGCTTATCAATCCTGCACTCCCCAAGCAGTCCAGCAAAGAGAACAGAAGAGGTGGCACTGCAGCCCGGTATTCTAATAGCGCGTACGATGCTTGTCGGGGGGCGGCTCGGGTTTCCTTTTGCCTTCACCCGCCTTCTCTTAGAGAGTCGCTTGATACCTGAATCGAGCCAGACCGGAGGAACCCTTGGTGAAAATTCAATCACCCAAGGTGCCTGTCCACCTAGCCGAGGTTAGCTGGTAGCGACGTTGCCAGGTTGCCGCACTTGCCTTGCTGGGTTGGCGAATAGAGTCAAGTTTCCCCCACACAGTTTGCAAGCTGTGGGAAGCTTGACGTCTCCCCGAGCAGCGAGCTTGTTTTCTACATGCAATGTCTCGGAGAAGTGGTTTCGCTACCATTTCTGCCAGATGTTCAGCCTTCAGGCTGTACTTACCCAAGGCAGACGCGCGCTACACGAGAGCAGAACGCGGGAGCATGTAAGATGATGTATCGCAAGGCTCGGTGAATCTTCCACATTGCGGTAACCCCTGGATACGAATTAATCAAGTTTTATTAAAGAGGTGCATTGCCAGTGAGAGGGTCACAAGAGGCCTCCCAAGATCATCCATCAGTGGTGGTATCAATAATCATGGTGACCAATTCTTCAGAGCCTTGCTGCAATACCAACTTGAAAAGTCTGCCCCCCTCCGTACAG